TTACAATCCACAGTTACCATTCCAAATAGTAGATTTTTCTGTTGGCTCTGATAGAGAACGTGACCAGTTACTAATCGAGTTGACCAAGAAGAAGTATTGCAGCTCTCGCACACTCAGGGAAACTATGCTGAGTATGCTGTGCTCAACCCGTCTGTAGAAAAGCAAGGGGTACCTGCTCACTGACCACGTTCCAAACGCGACCTGATGTTGACTAGAATGTCAGATGTCTTTGACATCTATCGCTTTGTAGGCATTTCCGAAGTCATACCGTAGCATGGGTCTGTGGAGAAGGCATAGCTTGGTGCCGGCAAGGCTTCAAGACTAATGCTGAGTATGCTGTGCTCAACCCGTCTGTAGAAAAGCAAGGGGTACCTGCTCACTGACCACGTTCCAAACGCGACCTGATGTTGACTAGAATGTCAGATGTCTTTGACATCTATCGCTTTGTAGGCATTTCCGAAGTCATACCGTAGCATGGGTCTGTGGAGAAGGCATAGCTTGGTGCCGGCAAGGCTTCAAGACTAGGCCTCAACTTCTGAGGATGGGAAAGGTGTAGTTGAGGTCTCACTGTTCTCAGTGCACCTGGAGACCGACATATTGGTAATGGGTACTAGAAAGCTTTCTTCAATTCGTGTGAGATTAAAGAAAGACTGAAAAAGTATAAAGTAGTAGGAGGTTAACTGATATGGTAAATGGAATGTGAAACACACCTCTTCCCGACATGAAATGCGCTTGCAAAATACTCATAATCTGAATACAGACTCTGCTTGTTTTCTTTGGCTCAGTCAGGAAACCTTTTGTTTGAATTAGACCAAGTGAACTGCACAGAATGCTTTTCAGTTTTAGTAGGTGTAGACAAGCCAAACTGCATGCAATTGAAGTATTTAAACTTCCTCTTAATATTTTCTTTCTTTGCTCTTACAGGTTTCTCCATTACCTTTAGATAATTTTGTTATCTGACATAATGTTGTTGTTTGACTTTTTTCCCCCCTTCCAAATTTTACATTTTATTTCAGCGTTTCCTAATACATTCTGATAAAAAGATGAAAGAGTTAACCTAGTTCCCTGTCTGTTTCTTGTAGGAAATTGTATTAGTGGTATTCTTTGGAACAGAATATGTGGTTCGGTTATGGTCAGCAGGATGCCGCAGTAAATATGTTGGAATATGGGGAAGGCTTCGTTTTGCTAGGAAGCCTATTTCAATCATTGGTGAGTATGCACAGTTTGCAAAGTTGATGTAAACAATGAGTAAAACTTGTCCTTGAAAGTTCTGAGAAGTAGAATTTCTGCAGTAGTTGAAGCCAAGTTAGAGCAAGCACTCTTGTCATTAGTGTTAACGTAGATCTGAATTTCCTCTCAGGAATCCATGGCACTGTCATTTGAGAATAAACGTAGCTTGGTTTGTTTTTCCAGAAGAGCAGAGTGTTTTCTTTTTACAAGTGATCTGAAACTTTGCCAGAAATAAGTCTTGGCCATAGTCCTGTCTCCGGTGACCTCAGGATCCCAGACTCTGTACAATAGCTACAACTGTGGAGTGTGGTTTTTTGTTAGTTTTTTTTTTATTTTTTAAAAGATACTGAATGGCCTTCCCCCGCCCCCCCCGCCAGCAGCCATTTGAATAATTTATTATGAGTTTATTTTGCACTTTAATGAGCTACATGCTGCATGGTGGACCATGGTAGGTGCACTGTAGTTACTTTGTGTATCTATTGGATTAAAATGTGGTGTTCAGTGATGCATTTGCATCTGGGCACCTGAATTCCCTTGATATTCACTGCAATTTGGCTTCTTAACGTGAGCTCAGTGTTCCTAGAGAATACACCCATATGTTCCATATCTGTTACAAACCATGATTTTTTTTTTTAGAATGCTTTTGATGCATTTAACAATTTTACCAAAAGAAACGTAATAATAAAAAATCAATCTGTATTTTGTTAGCCCCTATTGAGAGAAATATGTAAAGACCCTTATCCTGAAGCACTTTATATTTAAATGGATTAAACAAACCAGAGTTTGGAAGAGGGTTATTGTTATAGAAGCATAGTAATTTGTGTTATGCGACAGTTTTTTCCACCTTTTAGAAGCATTATTTGTTGTTGAGTAGAAGATAGTTTAGAAAAACTGTATCTACTGTTTTGCTGGATATAAATTACAAATTTTGTATCTAGGTATTTTCTGGGATCACAAAATGGTTTAGTTTAGCTTCTCTGTGCATATATATAAAAATAACAACTGTATCTCAGGTGTGACTGCAACTATAAAACGGCTTTAACTGTTCTGTCCAAAATCCATTTCTCTTGAGACCTAGAACACTAGGGGTTCTGAAACAGCATCAGTTTATTTCAGCTTGGAAAGCAAAACAAAATTCCACTTTCCCAGATATGTGTTAAGCACTATTTTATTCTCCAAAATAAAGAGTTCCTTTCCAAAATTAACTAGGCCTGAGGCACAGAGTACACTCCTAGAGTATGAATGACTAAACTAAATTACTCATACACGAATTCCAATTTTTCTCTCCCTTTTAGACCTGGACAGATGTGGTAATAGTAAGGCAATTGTCTTGTATATGAAATAAACCCAAAAACCTCTGTCAATGAATAAAATATTGTCTTAAACAGCAGAGAAAATAAGATACACAAAAGAGTTAATATGTAGAAACTGCTGAAATTCTTCATGGGTTCTAGGTAATAAGGATTCCAGGCTGCTGAGGCTGCTTTATAGTAGCTCAGGTCCCTCTCATCATTCATCTGGAATGTGGCCATCTTGGACCCATCCCAGTAAAACCTTTCTATCATACCTCACAGTTACATTTTCTTTATATGTTACAATAGAGCTCTCGATATATAAACAAAAACCTCAACTAGGGGTGACTCTTCCAGTTGTAACAGTAACATTGGCATTGGTAATAATAACAGTCTTCCAGAAGTGTATTGCAAGATGCTGCTAACTCATTTTTTTCTTTTGACTTTTATTTTCCAGATTTAATCGTAGTTGTTGCATCCATGATAGTTCTTTGTGTGGGGTCTAAAGGCCAAGTCTTTGCAACCTCAGCTATCAGGTAATTATATGCAATAAAAGAAAACGGTGCTGAGTAAGGTGTGGGGTTTTTTTCTTTTTGTAGCTCCTGTTTCAATTTTTGCAGGAGAAAACAAGTCGCTGCTCAGAGTCATGTAACGGAGCAGATCACCAATCATGTATGGGTGTGAAACAGCGATCCCATGAAGTGTGGGGGAAATAAAATTTTGTGTGTGTTGTCTGGCTGTAATATTTGTCTGGTGGGGATAGAGGTGCACATATCCTGGCCTCCTTTCCACAGCTGGGTGGTTTCTACCCAAACCCTGGTCTGGTTTCTTGGCTCGGTTTTACAGCAACCCTTTCATGCTTCGTGTCTCTGATGTCTTCAAGCTGCTTCTTCATAAAATGCCTGTCATTAGCGGTTGTGAGTTTCTGATGAACGGAATCCACCTTATGCTCAGGAAGGTCATGCCACTTGGCTCTCTTGAATGAGAGGGTACACGGCAGTGTACTGTGCTCTGCGCGCTAGCTGCAGCGATGCTCTAGAATTGCAGTGGCTCTCCTGTAATGAACAATTTAAATATTGTTGGACTGTCTAGTTCAAATTGCCTATGAAATTCCTCAAAGGTGAGGAATTCAGACATTTAGTTAGCTGCTTCTGTATGTTGTTTCCCATCCTGGGGTGCAGGTCAAGTATGTGTTGCTGAATGATATCTATAGCATTCACTGTTGGTGTCCAAAATTCCTGAATCTTTGAATTATTCTAACTAGCCATGTGTACAAAGCTCTGTCCTTCTCTTGCACAGTCTCCCCATGCTGTCTTCATAACAAACACGATGAAAGATGGGTGAAAAGAGACAGGCTGTTAAGTCTAACGTAAAATACAATGTCTCTCTCAAAGCAGTCCTTTGGAAGAGACAGATTTCCCCTCTCTGCCTCTATTTCTTCTCTTGTATCTTTAGCCTCTTCATTCGTTTAAAAATTGTGTTCCAGGGGCATCCGTTTCCTGCAGATTTTGCGAATGCTGCATGTTGACCGTCAGGGTGGTACATGGAGGCTGCTGGGGTCAGTAGTTTTCATTCACAGACAAGTAAGTCCCAGTACCCTGAGGAATGGCATTAGTAATTGGTGCAAAAGTCCTTATGTTCGGAACAACATGTATGCAGACATGCGGCTGATATCGAGTATATTTAATGAGGGAGCAGGCAGTCATTTATTTTATCCAAGTATGGTTGTTCTGCCTTGTTCAAAGGACAAAAAGTTCCTAAAAGATTAAAAATATTCACCTCCACTTTGGGAAACTTTTGACTTGTAGTTGGACTTTAGCCATAGAAACTGAGCCTACTGAAAAGTAGTCTGAATATTCCTAATAATATGTATCTAAATTCCAAAGTTGTTTTGAATGTGGCACTGCCTGAAAAAATTACCCAACTACACTTTGGTGACCAAAATGGTAGTGAGCCACGCTGGCAAGCGAGGAGGTTGTTTTGACTCTGAAGTGTGTGTGCTGGACCGCGTCATCAGCTCTGGTGTAAATTCTTTCACCATTGAGCTCAGTGGACTTTTGTTAATTTGCACAGCCAGCAGTCGGTGTCAGTGTTTATTAATTGCGGAAATTACATTTTTCTGTTCCAATTATCTTTTAAAAACCAACAGTGGTAGGTAATTTCAGTGTCTCAATAATATCATATTCCTGTTATTTTGATTCTCTTTACAGGAGCTGATAACTACACTCTACATTGGATTTCTGGGCCTGATTTTTTCCTCTTATTTTGTGTACCTGGCTGAAAAAGATGCTGTAAATGATTCTGGAGAAACAGAGTTTGGTAGCTATGCAGATGCCCTGTGGTGGGGAGTAGTAAGTATTGCAATTTCACATATACTGGAAGTAGTTAACACCTTCAGATGTGGAGTGAAGTTCAAGCAAGCATGGAGTAAGAACAGCCCTTTGAAATGGCCTCTTATTGCTTCAATGCATGTCCTGGTTTTATAGTTCTTTGAAACTAAGGAAATACTACAGATGATCAAGTTTTATTTGGTGTTTATAGTCTTATGTGATCCAAAGTGATCAAATGATGTGTACGAGATGTAGAAACAACCGTTCTTCTTTTCTTATCCTGTCTTCCCTTCTGTTACAGTGATTACTTCTTGCTACCTTTCTCATGGTAGGGTTCAACCTTCTAAGGTGGTTAAGAGTCTTGTGAGATCAGGGCTGGTGTTTTGTGTGGTGGTGGTTTTGGGTGGGTTTTGGTGTTTTTTTTTTTTTCCCCTTCCTCTGTGTGGTTTGGGCTTTGTCCTTTTAAAAAAACCCAAACAAAAACCAACCAAACAAACCAAAAAAACAAACCCACACAAGTTATTGATGATTTGCAATTTGGCTTGGGACAGTACTTCCCTGTTTTTTCAAAATGGACTAATTCCAGAACAACGAGCATTTGAGACAAGAAATCCAGACACAGGACTTTAAAAAAAGTGATTACATTGCTCTGGAACCCACTTAGTATCCTTATGTGGCATTTGTCTGTGCTGTGTCAACACACCGTCTTGCTCAGAGGTTTCTCATCTTGCTCAGAGGTGCTGCCATGTTTGGAGTAGGTGTATCTTTAGTTTTCCTAATAAAGTTCATCTTTCTTGCTGTTGCTAGTGACAGATGTCTATTTTCATTTATTATATGTACCTACTAGTGTGGCCACTCTGTTCTGGGATTATATTTTAGTAAATGTTTTAATTTTGTTTCTGCTGGTAGTAACAATTCCCTCTTTTCCTGCATGATATGTAAATATTAGGTTGGCTGCTCTGTTCTGGGATTTCCCATCTGTAATTGTTTCCCTTTCCTTTTCCTATTGCAGTTCAAAGAAAGGTACTTTTTGAAAGTCTTTTTTCCTTATCATTAGCATTCAAGCAATGACTTGTTTTTATCTGCTTTAATTATATGTCGATTAATAAAACAGTCACCATGAAGTGCTACAGATCTCTAAAGTGCATAGGCAACACTACTGATTCCATGCTTGCCTTTTCAAACTGTGCTGCTCTTCTCAAGTCTTCTCTTTGCTGTTTTAAATCAAAAGAAATTGCTGCTTCTTTGTTAAAAATGAGACTGCTAGTAAGTCTCATGCGGAAGAATGATAGGACTGACACGTCTGTTTCACTAATAAAACATATTTTTTAAGAAATATTTATAGTATTCTGCTCTGCGTGTGCTTAGTCTTCTCTCTACAAACAGTACCACTTGCTGTTTCAGGAAGGAAAGATCTATTGATGAGCAAGTCAATTGCAGGTTTCCTGGTGCTGAAATGCATACGTAGCTTTTTTTGAATACAACAGGTTTCATTGAGGCTGCTGCTAAGATCTGCTGCAGAATTCTTTCCTCTTGCTGACGGCCATGGTTAAATACAGCCTCTCTTAGGATCAAAAATCTGCTATGTAGCACAAGGACGTGGCTTTCTGGCAAGTAGCTTTTTCAATGCTTTCATGTCCTCACGGTGTCTTCATTTTCCAGTACAGCAGTCAGATGACTTGGTAATTAACAGTGGCAGATGTAGCTGCATTTAAAAACACATGCTGTCATTGGTGTTGGCATTAAAAATTGAGTAAGTGACAGCCCAGACTGTCTCACTGAAAATGCAGTAAAACCTTCCGTAGAAGCAATGCGATTTGTCAGAGTATTGAAATACTCTCCTTTCGGGGAAGTCTTGCTCTGGTACTAGGCCTGCCAGTTACTTTGTCTTTCTAATTACAGTAAACTAAATTAACCCATAAGTTTAATTATGATAATATTCTTTCTTTGTTACAACTTCTGTTATGTTGCAGCATGCCGCTTGAAGTGCGAGGCTGCATTCAATGAACCCGTAATGTAATTTCTTGAATACTAAAAATAGAATTTAGTGTTCTTGTTCTGCTCTGAATGCAGATGCTATACTTCTGCTAACTGCTAAAAGGATTTTAGCATCTATTTCTGGTGTTTTGATGTTGTCACATTCTTCATGCCTTTTGCTAGGAAAAGGTCCTGTAAAGTTAGGGCAACTGGGAGGTCACTAAGTGTCAGGATGCTTCCTAATAAAGGTCTCAAACTCATACAAACCCCTTCTCAAAGTGTTAGGTCTGAAAAGTTTTGGTCATGTTTTAGCTAGAATTTTCAGCATCCCTTAAACACCACAAATTCTGGTTGCTGGAAACCTGTTTCAGTCTGTTTTGAACTGGACATGCAGAAGATGATAATTCTCAGCTTGTCTCATTCACCAACGTAGACAGGTCATCTGTCTGGGAATGCTTCTCTGAAAGTGCACTTCCCTTGCATAACAGAGAATACTTCTACAAGAAAAGTACTTGCTAATGTTTTCACCATGCCCCACCCCGCCCAATCCCTTCTCACTCTACAACACTGCAGGTTTTTTTTGCTATCTCAGCGTGTGAATACACTACTGAAGGTCTTTGGGTAGTGGCAATAGAGTATGTAGCACAGGATAAAGTAAACCATAGAAAAGGTCTGTGTTGCCACAACTGAGCTGCATCTGGAACTGGGTACTTTTATAGTACTGTGTTTGCTGACTGTAGACATACCCATAGGGTGCATAACTTCTAATTAGATGTTCTTCATTGTCATTGTTGTTATTTATAAATCTATTTTGGTTTTCCATTTCCATACGTAAATTGTCCTCCTGGGCTTTATTTGAATTTCCTTGAGAACTCTGTGCTCTAGCTATTTGCCGTGCCAGTTTATGGGCTTCTTGAAGACACGTCAGGTTGCTTTGTGGCATAAAGATTTGTCTGTATTATTGCTGGTTTTGAACGCAGTGCACGTTGAACAAATAATTCTGCCAGTGGCTGCATTCTCTGTCTTTCAAAAGACAAGTTTAATATTTGCAAGTAAAATACAAGTAACATGATGCATCTTTCAGCTCCCCAGCACAAGTATTCAGAAGTAGTCTGCTATACTGTCATCTCTGTCCAGACTAACACTCTTAAAAACAGAGTATAGATTCTGGACCATAAAACCAAGAATTAAAAAAACCTATCCCAACATCCACAACAAACAAACAAAAACCCCAAAACAAAACCCACAGGTAAAAGTAAGATGCTAAATGTTCTCACAAAATCTGTCAACGATGACCACCTTCAGGGAATGTATCATTTCACTGTCTCTGGACTTTTTTTGTGTGTGTGTGGTGGTTTTTTTAATCTATCTTCCCCTCCTCCCCTTCCCTTAAGCATTAAATTTGATTGTGTCTCAGACAGACTGAGGGGAGCTCCCCTTTTGGTATCTACTGAGTGATGCACGGTTTCCAAGCTTTGCATCTGAACAAACATTCTTCAGGAAAAACCATTATGTGGATTGTGGCAACAGTCCCTTTGATCATGAACACCATTTGCCATAAGCAGCTATTGAATATAGCCAGGCATGGGTGTTACACTCTGGCCATTCCTTTGAATTGGCTGTAATTGGATTGCGCAACCGCCTGCAAGTACCAGCTTTAGTTAAGTGTTTTTTCTTCTTAATTCAATATATGCTTTCTCACCAAGGACAAACGTTGATAGGTTTGCTGACTTCTAAGCGTGCATAAAACCATGTTCTGCTGTTGTGTTTGCGAGTGGATGTGCAGTTTCATTTCACATCCTAAGTTAAGTGTTTTGGTGTCCTTCAGCTGTGGCTGCATCTCAGTTATGTACTTCAACTGCATCAAGAATGGTGGTTTGAGCCTGCAGTGATAACGATACAAAAATTACTTTGAAATTTTAAGAACAAAAAGAATCCAAACATCCCTTTTAGATGTTTGTAATAGTAGTGACCGGAAGTCTTCAGCTTTGGATTACAATTTTAATTCCAATGTTTCAAAACATTTGTGCCCTGGAGAACACTGTCTCTTAACTTGTTCATCTGAAGGATGTAACTTGAATCTTCCAAGAGTGCTGCGATGCACGTAGAGGTGATTGGGAGCCGAAAGTGGAGTTTCTGTTGTGTGAATCAGTTCTTATCACTAACGTACTTATGTGCCCAAGGAAGAGAGATATGTCATTTGGAAAAGAGTTCAAACTATCGAAAGAGCACAAGGGATTTTCTGAGCTTTGTACAGATTGCATACTTCACAGTAAAATAAAAGCAGGAGAATCTAATCTGTTTGCACTTGCGCTGCATGGATTTCAGCAGCTTGGAAAGATCCTACTCTGTATTCAACTTGCATGAGTGCAGTTGCCGGAATAAGATGTCAAGCACGAGAGGGGCTCTGATGTGTTCCTTACACTTAGGCGTTCAGGAAGGCGTTCAAGCCATTTTACAATTTACTTCATTTGCAAAGAAGTCGGGGAGCCGGTGGATATTTCTGGTGTATCACTGAATGTTGTTCTTGTATTACCTGATTTAATCAAGATGGGCATTGTGAGTGGATCAGAAAACTTCTGAGTGGCATTTGGCATGCAAAACAATACCTAGGGTGATTGATTCTGAAGTTGCAGTGCTGCAAATTTAGAAACAAAGCAGTTAAAGTGTTTTCTATAAGGTGATTTTCCCTTAGTTGCTTTAATGCTTGGCTCTTTAAATCTTTTAGCTTGTGTTTGCTCCCACAGTCCTGTGAAGTCTGCCTTTTTAATGCCTCTGAATCATGCGTTTTTATACTCTGTAGCTGTTTAACTATCCAAATTTTTGCAAGGCACACAGCAAGGACTTAATCAACAGGGCATTGTTACTCACCTGGTTAGTTTGCACTCACTTTAGCCTGATAGCCTTCAATAAATTCCCTTCCCTATTCAGTGCTGACAAACATTATTTCTTCTTGCTGTGTGGATTTTTGCTCCATATTTCCTCCTTCAGACTATTGATGCATATTTAATAGGAACAAGATTAGTCTTAATACCAAAGCCTGTAGTGATGTACATCAGATCAATGTTCTGAAATAGTAAAGGCATGAATATGCTTTTGTTCCTAATTAAAACAATTAGCCTTACATGCTGCTTTTCAATTGAACTTTAATGTGTGAGCTCTTGTGTCAATTTAATTTCATTATGCCAGCATATTTACTATGCTGGAGTAGAAGTTGAGTCAGTATTTCCATTATAAGATCCTATTTTACAACTGTAAAATCAGTATTGTACTCTTTAGGGGGCTATAATCTGGTTGTAAAAATTAATTTTGGGCAGGAACTCGGCATGTAAGGTTTCAACAGAATGTATCTTGGAGGAAGAAGAAAATGTAATTTTGGAATACAATGCATTTATAGATGGATTAGTTATGAGGGCGGAGGAGAACGTTAACTTAAACACACATTTTGATTTGCAGCCCAATTTCCAGAATGTTTTTAAAAAAACCTTCCTAAACAGCACCAAAAATACTTTTCTAGTGTCACTGATGCTTCATACAGACCAATTCAGAAGGGATGAGCGGGGGGTGGTGGGAAAGGGGAGATGTACTTAGTCATATACGAATTTTTCTTCAGTTATACTTCAGTCAGCTCAAAAGCACATATTTCTTTTCCAGTTTCTAGTTAATGTATATATTTCAACTGGATGTTAAGATTGTAACACAGAGTAACACTTCGCAATGACAAGTGTTTGTAGATCTTTTCAAAAACTGAGGCATAAGCCACTGTTTTCTGTCATAATCTTTTCTGTAAGAAGGTATTGGAGGCCATCACTTTTCCCATAATTATAGTTCTTTTTTTATGCCATATTTTTTGAACAGAAAATTGTAATTAGAATGTAGGTAAGGCGAGAATGTCATCCCTTCCATTCCTCATCAGGCCCTGATTAAGGTGGTATTTCAGGAATACAGGCAAAGGTACTTGGGTACTTATCTCACCTTACTCATTCTTAAAATACTTTTGTAGGATATGAAACAGATTTGGAAACAAGCCACATTTTGAAAACTTTTATTGAAAATTAAATGCTAACACTTGAATGCTTTGATTATCAGCAACTTGCAATAAACTTTTAACATCGCCACCTCAAGCAGCTAGAGCTGTCCCTTTCCCATGTGCTTGACAGGCATGGAATGATGTTGCTTAGAAGGTGGACAGTTTGAGTATGGGTGGCTTGATTCATGTGTTTGAGGTACAGCTCAGGTTGGAACTTATACCCACATGATTTCCTTAGGATGGCTCATCTCTCAGTAGGCATGGATAATTATTAAAGTGGCTGACAACCACATTTTTCCTGAGGCACTCATCATGCTCTTTTATTTTCCCAAACCGAGGTTCTCCATCCCTTCACTCCCTTAACAAACATCTTGGCTCTCTAAATCTGCCCTTCCCTTCTCCTCTCCCTTGGAAATGCTGCCCTGGGCATTGCCTGCATTTCTGCAGTCGCTGGGCAGTCTGCATTACAGCACGCGGGAGCACTAGGAGCACTGCAGGATGAGGTGGGGATGGCCTGTCTCTGATTGCTGGGGCTGACCTCCTCTGTGTCCTGGGCTGCTGAAGCCCATCCTTTCAGGCGAAAATCTGAATAGCCAACAATTGAGGTGTTTCAGCTGCTTGAGAGCTTTATGTGGTTTCCCATGCTCTGATTTCATTAGCCTTCTTCAAAGTCACAGAGAAAAATCTCTCTAATTTCCAAATTCAGAAATGGCATGTGACATAGGTGAATTTAAATTGCTCTCAGATGCCAAATGTATCCTTCTGCTTTAAACAAATCCATCCCTTCATTGAGCTCATGCAAATAATGACTTGTTAAGCCTTGTTATGCTACATCACTGTGGTGGTAATCTGTACTTCAGTTTTTTGAAACCCAAACTCAACAGATGTTTCCTGCATGTGTGCATTAAATTATCTGTTCTTGCTCTTGGTGTACGAATTGGTGATTTGTTAGCCTATGTTTTCAGGATCTTTACTCCGTGGGAGGTTTTTTTCAGCTTCTCTTGCTATTTATACCAATATTATTCTCTAGAATACTTCATGTCTGACCCCAGTCATGGACCATGGTTGCAGTATTTATATGCTCTTTCTGTGCAACAGCCCTGTAATACTCTCAGCAAACATCTCCTGCCCATCAAGAAAATCAGCAATTCAGAACTGCTGGCAGCCTCTTCCTAAGGAAAGTGCGTGACATGGGCAGGCAATCTGTATTCCAGTAACCTCATATGCTGTAAAGTTGCCTCAGCCATGAAGACTTTAATGGTTTATGGTACAAGATCTTAAACAAGCATTTTATCGTAATTCAATTTCCTGTACCTTTTTCCATCTATTTTAGATGGGGAAGCAAACCTGGAGAGGAGAGTTACTTTCATTAATGTCACACAGACTGTCATTGGGAGAGTTAAGAATACAACTGATGTTTCTTTAACGTAGATTAAAGAGAATGAAAGAACAACCCAAACAGCCACATGGATACTTGCTGTAATGCTCTGTGTGTTTCTCTTTACAGGTGACTGTTACAACTATCGGCTATGGGGATAAAGTGCCTCAGACCTGGATAGGAAAGACCATTGCATCTTGTTTTTCAGTATTTGCGATTTCCTTTTTTGCACTACCTGCGGTAGGTTCTCTTCTGCTTTTGCTGGCAACTTGGCGTTGGCTCATGAGTTGTCAGAGGAAACTTGTTATTGATTCTTTAACCTTTTATTTAACCTGACGTTGTGAAAGCCATGTATTAAACTTTTATATTGTAATTAAAATATATGTATGTTGTAGAAGCAAAAGAGCTTCTGTAAGTAGCTAAAAAAAGTGAATATGCGGTGTCTATTGCATGCAACACTAGATATGTACTTGAGGAAGATGTTTAATTCAAAATACTTTTTCTGCCCATCTTAGAAGTGTAGAAGAAATGATTTCTCATGCTAATTACTTCTGGATTCAGTGGCTTAGTGATGTTTTGGCTTTGAAAGGCATTTACTCATAGTTTACTCTACTGATTAGGTCCAGGGTGAACTTCAGAGCATTCTTTCACATCCTTCTAGCAGAGCTGCTGTAAATGTGTCACTGGCAGAGAGACTACAATAACCAGACAGGGACTCTGATGCAACTCTGCCAAATCGTCATCTGGCCATGGCCAAAGTCCCATTTTCAAAACTGACCTAGAGTGGAACTTTTAAAGGTTTTATGACACCTTGTTTGCAGTGAAAACGGGTTCCCAAGTACTTTCTAACAAGAAAGAAGGCCCTTGAGTACCAAGGGTAAATCTAAAATCATGAAATCTGGACTGTGGATTGAAAACCCAAAATGTTCAATGCCAAGGGTAGTTAAGGGTATTTTTTTCCACAAATCTAGCAACAGTCCTGAATTGTGCTGTTAAAAAGTTTATTTTTCAGCCAGTTTTTCAGGTCAGTGACACAAACAGTTGTGTTAGCAGACGTTCGCGTAGTTGTGTCAGCGAAGTGGTGTGGAGAAGTACAGGATGGATGAGAATACTGCTTTTCTGCCAGTGCCATCACAAAAATTCTCCCCAACATGAAATAGTAACTATGAAAGCACCAGGGCTTTTTAAAAGTAGTTTCTTACTTTAAAGGTATGCAACCTTTCGCAGAGGAGTGTAATCATGTGTAGATTTTTACTTTCCAGCGTCAGCTTTTCCTTAAAGCATATTCTTCCCACCTCCATGTCTTTCACACACTAATTCCTTGTTTAGAAGAGAGATCGGGTAAATGAAGTGATCTGTAAGAAAAATGCCAAAAGCTATTTTGACTGAAGGGTTGCGGGTTTTTTTCCCTCAGACTTGAGTGCCAGCAAAGATGTTTTATAAATAATTGTGTAGCAGCCCCACCTTTACAGCAGTGCTTTTATGCTTACCTGTCAGATTTCCCTAGTCATTTGTAGAAGTGAAATAATAACAAACACCCCTTTATTACTGTGATTTTATTACTGAATGAAGTTATTCTTGTGAGTTGGCCCAAGGGGGAATTTTAAGGTTTGCAGCTCTAGCAGTAAGTAGTTGACAGGTAGTAACTATTGCGTGCTGCCTCGTTGCTGTTTTACATAAGGAGAACTGGCCGAGATCACAGTCATAGGTAATTGTGGCTAAACACAACCGGTGTGGGTTCTGGATCTAGCAATGATCCTTCATTTCCCAAATAAGTGATGTTTGAGCATCATTAACTCTTTGATCTTTACTAAATGAACATAATAGGAACAGCCTTTCCTGTTCCTTTCAAAACACTTGATGATTAATACAGTTCTTGGAGATTGAGCCAAGATCACTGGCTGCTCCGACACGTTGACTACTGTAGGTAGAAAATGAGTTCTGCTTTTCTCGAGTAGGTGTATTCAAGTAAGCTGGCTTACAGAAGATCCCATCTTCATCTGTTACTAAAGCCGCTGTTAAATATGTCTATAGCTATGCAAACGACTACATAAATGTCTCACTCTATACTTTGGACTTCATAGTTACACAGCGCTCGGGGGCTATTTCAGGTTGTACATTATCCAGTGCCATTAGTCCATGTCTGTGAGAGAGGATTAGATGGCCTTGTATTGAATTCACTGAACTGCTGATCAGTTTGTAATATTCCTTTTCCTCTTCTTTCTCCTTCCCTCACAGCAGGGGTTAACATAGGGAAACAGAAATTACCATACTCCCAATTAAAAGGTCTTTCTTGTGACCTGAGTCATTACATGCCAAAGCTCTACGTCTCATAAAAATGAAGTTAGGCACATCAGATTAATATTTCTCCCTATTTTTTTGTTCCTCTGCACAAGCATTTACAAGGCTTTAAAATGGTATGAAATATCATTTCTGCTCACTCTTTAGCGTTTGAGTCCAGCTGACTTAAACAGGCTTTGGGTCAGGGCATGAGAGCATTCATAGTTTGTTTCAACAACTCATACTGAGTCTAAAAACTTAACAATATGAAGTCATTTCCTCTAAATAATTAGTTGTGTTTTATGATGCTGAATAGAAGTTTATTAATACAACATAATTTGGCAAGCTTATGTGTGGGTTTTCTTCGCCCTTAAAAAGAGATTGGAGTTTTCTTTCTTCCCACAGGGAATTCTTGGTTCAGGCTTTGCCTTAAAGGTGCAACAGAAACAAAGGCAGAAGCATTTCAACCGTCAAATTCCGGCTGCAGCCTCTCTCATACAGGTACTGAGTTCCTGCATTTTGCATACTATAATTTCTTTCCATTTATAGGTTGGTTTTTTTCAGAACTGTTGGCACTATTTCCATGCCTGATTCCCATTAAAATCATATAGGAGTTACAGATGTAAGTTTTTTAAAAGATTTTGGAAATCCCACCTTTAATATAAACTAATGAGCAGAAAAGTTCTGCAGAAAGGTTAATTCAGCAAATTCAGTGCGAACTGTTTAATTCAGCTGGTCAAAATCAAAACTGAAGGATATCCTGTAGTTATTGTTCAGTTTAACTGAGGGAAGCGTTATCAAATACTGTGCTTGCAGTAGTGAAAAATGGAGAGGAGACTTCATGTAAAATTGTACTTCTAAAAAACACACTGTTGCTTGTGAAGCCAAGTGTCAGACATGCTTCTTTCTCTTGAGGCCAAGTAAATTCTTAAAAATCTCAAATTTCAGAGAATTAAGTCAGAATGCTAAATAGGAAAATCTTTTCTGAACTTTTCAGCTTTAGGATAGGAGGAGCTGAGAACCACTGAGATTCTGCAAAAATTAGTCTTTTTGTGTAGGATAACATACAGGCAGAAAAATTTTGATCCCCTTTGTTAAAAACACGGTTGCAGTTCAGTGTCAGTAAGGTCAGTGAGATTTTATCCTTTACTTCACTGGAGCCAGCATTTCACCGTGGAGTAGTATAAATATTGTTTAATTCTACATTTTTCCAGTTTTTCCTCCCTCACTCAGTATCTGCATGTAGCTTTAGAAGCACAGGGATCCAATTTAACAGAAATGCAGACGTACACCTAAGCCATATCATTTTTGCGTTCTCATATGACTTATTTCTCTAGCTTCATGAGTGAACATGGATTTCCAGGTTAAGCTTTTTATGGAAACAGTAGCTAACTGTAAAGTTTATGCTTGAAACTAAACAGTCCCAGAGTTAATGTGAAAAATGTTTAAATTTAGGGCTCTGGTTATAGCCAGAGATTAGCCAAAAATCTTGAGACTCAATGTGTTTTGTTTGGATTGCATGGTCAGAAAAAAGGTATGGTTTTGCAAAGGATGGATTTTTACTGTTTCCACTGATTCTTTTGGGAAATCAACCCCAAATTATTGGGAAGCCTGAGATTGCATGTCCAGAATGTTGTACTTGGCTTCACCTGAAATGTTAAGGAGGACTTGGAGGATGGACAAGGAGTAGCTGACTACCTGTTCTTAATAGTGGTAATTATGATTTACTAATAGCTGTGGGCTTCTAAATGCCCAAGTTAATAAATAATCTACAAATAACTTGCCAAAAGGTTTTTCTTAAACCAAGAAGCTTATGAAATAAGTACAAGACAACAGCTGAAATGGGTGATATTTTTTTCCTGTATTCCTTATTGTTTTATTCTAGAGGCCTGTTGTTTCTTCCAGTATCCTATTAGCCATGGTGGGAAGTATATGGCGATGGTCTGATCCTTTACTTTCCAACTGCTGTCTGTTTTCCTCTGTCAGTCTGCTCCACTTGCTTTCTTTCAGCTAGTATTTTCTGCCCTTTCCCACTTCAGATTTTGTGTATGTATATGTGTGTCCTTTTTCATGTAGCGCAGGAGGATCTGCTTTTAATTTGGAGACTAATTAGTAATCATCTCTGATGTATCATACATTTAAGAGAGCATGCCGTAGTGTTTTGTCTCTGGTCTTATTTCCTAGCCCTGCTTTTCTTCCTTTTTGTCTTAGAACATAGTACTTTAATCACTGGTGGTTGGCAGGAGGGAAGAATTGGGTTTGGGTTTTGGTTCCTGGTTAATCATTGGTGCTGTTCCCTCATCCTCTCACTCTTATTTTTTCATATGAATATATCCCTACTGACCACATCACAATCGCTCTTTTTTTTTTTTCCTGGTAGTACTCTTTGAGGCAGGAAGAATGATTTTTGTTTTGTGAGTTGGAGCCTGAAACACAGGATACAATAGGCAAACTGCTTGGAGTCAGAGAGGGAAACTGGGAAATTTAACCCCCAGTCTTTTTGAGTCCAGTCAAGAATTCTCTCTTATTATTTATTTGTTGCTAATGCAAACAAATGTTGCGCTTGAAAAGACTGATCTCCCTTTCTGGTTTGCCCAGTTCAAACCATGTGGTTTCTGTTTATTAAATAAGGACTCTAAACCATGCTGAGTTTGTTTCCAGCGGGGAAGTTTAAGAATACTATTAAATAAAGAATGATTAAAATGCTGCTTTAGTACAGGTGGGTAAAAATCTGATCTCATGAACTGTCCTGTTGCTTAAAACATTTGTTCTAGACTGCATGGAGATGCTATGCAGCGGAAAACCCAGACTCTTCTACATGGAAAATATACATTCGAAAACCTGCCAGAAACTATCATTTGCTGTCACCCAGTCCAAAACCGAAGAAATCTGTGATGGTACCAGTAATAACATTTCCTACTGCAGTAATTTAACATTTTAAAATGAAATTGAATGTGTTTACACTTTAAAGGCTATTTGTTGTGTTTGTTTTACAATTATTACTTGGTTTCAAAGTTTTATTTTCATTTCAGTTTTGAGATTTTCAATGTAAAAAACGTTTTAAACTATAACTTAATCTGCTTCAGTTCCCAAGCTTTGTTTTTTTTAATGGATCTATGGGTTTGGAAAAGAGCAGTAACAACCTAACTCAGACACATCATTCAGTAACTTACTGTTGTTGTTTGGAAAACTGTAAGCAAAGGAAAAAAAAAAATTACTAATTCCCAAACAGTCACTTGTAATTGTTTTTGTTTTGTGTTGTTTATGGGTTTTGTTTGTTTGGTTTTTTAAATAACAAACAAAACTGCTGCTTCTCACAGCTACTGATTTTTGTGGCTTTCTAAGCTTTTATGTTGAAGACATATTGTGTCTACATACAGTAGTATTTTCATATCAACTGATTCCATAAGTTAAGAATTTTTTTGTTAAAAACAGCGGCAACAAAAATTTCTTTGTCAAGTTCATTAGATTATATAATACTTCATCCTCTCTACTGTAAGAGTCTTGTGCAGTAGTCTCAAGCTGGAAGGAGAGAATGTTTTGCAAAAATCCTCCCTGGTATCTCAGGCTCATCTAAGTTCAGTAGCAGTATATCCATTAGCTTTTTGCTGAAGGTATAAATATTGCATCTGTAAAATGAGAAAGATATTCAGGGGTAGTTTGATTTCTATAAACTCTTGCAGAGTTAGCAGATTTTTTTACAGCAGGCAGGGGATTTGCTGATGACAATGTGCAGAATTATAGTGATTAGCCAGTTTTGGTAGGATGGAGGGCAGTCTTACTGAGAAACTCATAGAGTTAGCATCATGAAAATGTAATTGGTCAGGCACTCTTTTGACTGGTTATAGCTCACTGAAGACATGACTGAAGAGATAACTAAATGTGGCTTCGTTTGAGTAATTTAATGTCTCTGTATTTTTAGGTTAAAAAGAAGAAATTTAAGTTAGACAAGGACAATGGGCCTTCTTCTCCAGATAGGATGTTAACTGTTCCACACATCACTTATGACCACATGACAGATGACAGGAAACCTGATTTCAGTTTTGAAGCGTATGAAAATTCTGGTAAGAAATTCCATTATAAAAGGCTGGTAACTGTAATGGCTTCCATTAGTGATTTACACATGGGTCCTCTTCAATACCCATAGTAGACAGCATGAGTTCAGAACAAGCTCTTGTCATTCTCAAGCAGTAATGCTTTGCTTTTTGGTTGCTGGCTTATCTGGATGAGATTCAACCATTCCTTTAATGAGCATGCTGCACTGCAGACCAACTAAGGTTATTTGTCATTTCTGCCTGACAGAAGAGCTGCTGTCTCTGAGGCTGGGGCATATATTCCCTAAATATGCACACGCTGTC